TCGATCTAAGGTAGATCGTATAAAGATCGTAGAAACAGATCGGACTGGACCAGAGCTTCCGGTCCACTTTTCCAAAGAAATCCTGCAGACGCTTGCCACCTACCGTAGTCTGCATTTGATTATCTCCAGTATCCGCGGCTCTGGCTAAATTTTTTTGATCTCACGCTATCTATCGCTCGCTCTCTCACTCTCTCATTCTCTCCCTCTTTCGCCTCTCTCTCTCTCTCTCTCTCTCTCTCTCTCTCTCTTTCTATAGCTTGGATCACAATTCACTTAAAGCCCTGATACCCCAAAGTCTTGCTATTCTAGCTATTCACTTTTCGTCGTGCTTCTCCTCATCAAAATGAGCAAGGTAACGCCTATTTTGTTTATTATTTACTTCCTCCCTTCCCCCAGCTGACCGCACAAACCATAAAAAGTGGGTTATTTTGCGGGTGGGGGCCTCTATTTATGCCCGCATCGGATTATCCCCCGCGCCTCTGAAAACCCAGATCCGGCCGGTCTTTATGCTGACTGGGTAGCTCTCTTTGGGAAAAAACTGGTCCGGGTACTGTCGGCTTAAAAAAGTCAGAATTTTCCATAATTTTGTGGATTTTGAATTTTCTATATTTTTTATTTATTCTCGTGGTAGCTACCGTACCCATAAATTGCACTGAAGGCCTGCTAGCAGAGAAACTTTAGGAATACTTGAAAAGCCCCGATTTGAGGGCAAACCAGCGGAGGTTATCTAGGAATTTGGAAGGCAAGCTAGCAGAGATCCTTGCGGAATTTTCGGTCATTTTGGAAAGCGCGGAAAAGGGCAAACTAGCCGACAAGCTTTAGGAATTTCTAGAAGGCCATGTATTTACGAAGGGCAGCTAGCAGAGAATCTTGGGGAACTTTTACAACCCGTTCCCAAAAATTCCTTGCGAAGGAGCAGCTGGCAAACTAGCAGAACAAAGTTAACCGAACTGAACCAAACTTAGAACTCTTTGATACCCATGACCCGGCACCTCATTCCACAAGTACATTGACTTTCCAAAGCTGCCCTGATTTTCGCTTCCCCAATATTAACTGGACGTCATTACGGCTCACCATGCAAAAAGGTCGTTTCCTGTCGTTTACCGTAATCCGTCTGCTTCACGTCAACGAGTGTTCCCGATGGTGTTCGCGCTAAAACCCCCAATTACCGTATCCTGGTCAGCGGCCAATTTCCGGGAATTAATGGCGAGTAGCTTTTCCTGCTTTTTAGTTTTGCTAATCGGCCCGATTCACGGCGGGCGCTCACAACCTCGTGCTCATTTTCCGGTGCTTCTCGTAATTACGTTTGCTGGTTGGGAAATTGGGCACTTTCAAATATTTTGCTCAACATTTTGCTCAGGAAGTCTCAAAATTTTGCTTAGCCGAAGCTAGCCTAAGCTAAGCCTCATCAAAGCCTCAGCTTTAACCCTAAGCCCCCTAACAAGGGAAGTGCACGACCGGCCCACGAGAAATCGACACGAGACATAGTGGATCTGATAGAATCGGACACGGGGATTCCGAATCTGTAATCAGAATTTGCTAAATAAAACGGAGAAAAAAGTTATGAAGCTTCAAAGTTGGTAAAATCGCCCAAAATCGGACTTTTATGGGCCTGTAAAGGCCCAGGGAATGAAAATTTGCCACAACCCATTAGTGCATCTTGTTCAGCAGAAAAAGCGCTTTCGAATGAGCTATCTTACTTCAAGTTTACGATGATTTCGCGAAAATCTCTTCTATGAACTTGACAGGCCATACCCTTGCCCGTGAATCCAAAAAACTTTTTCAGTGAATTGTTTACAAATGCTACGTATTACAGCTCATTCGAAAGCGCTTTTTCTGCTGAACAAGATGCACTAATTCTTTTCTCCTCAATTCCGTTCCCCCGGTTTTTACGGGCCCTTAAAGGTACCGTTTTTGGGCGATTTTACCAACTTTGAAGCTTCATAACTTTTTTCTCCGTTTTATTTAGCAAATTCTGATTACAGATTCGGAATCCCCGTGTCCGATTCTATTAGATCCACTATGTCTCGTGTCGATTTCTCGTTTGAGTTGGACTTCGTTGGCCATATAGCCTGTCTGATGCAGTTTTTCACGCTGATAACGATACCGATATTTATTTTGTAAGGCGCCACAGGAACGCTGTTAAAAATCGATTTAAAGTTTTGTCATCTTTGGCAGCCCCGCCTACATCTAAGCCTACATTAAGCCAAGCCTAAGAAAAAGCGAGGTTAGGCCTAAGAAAATCTTAGGCTGGGCCTAAGCGAAGCCAAAATTTCCTAAGCTAAGCGTAAGCTGGGTCCCTAAGCCTAAGCTACCATACCCATAATCTACCAAATTCTACCAAATTCACCCCACTCACAGGCTCGTGCTCCCGTCGCATCTTACAATAAGAGATCTGTATTTATTTTTGATCCGCTAAATTTCCTAATTTCTTTTTTAATTCACGGGCCGTTAATATGATCCAATTTTTGCATTGCTAAATAACATTTTGCTGCGGTGTAGGGGTTTGTGCTCATTTTGGCAGTGTTCCGCTAATTCACGTACCGGGTTACCGTAGCCCGCCAGAAAATCAGGTCTGAATCATTTCAAAATTTTGTAGTTTATGCTTCTCGGTGAGACTCCGTTCGAGGCTTAGAACTGGGGCGCCTAAGATATTTTTACAATTTTGAAAATTTAATTTCAGCCAAAGCCGTCGAGGTTTATATAAATTTTTGATGACATATGTTTTTAGTTCCGCGTCCTACTTCACTCACGATTCTATGCGGATTTTTTCTCCGGTACTTAGTGTTACTGTAGGTCAAAAATGAGAGGCAAAGCATCATATTTTTCATAGAACTTAAATTTTTTTGATGGGAATAGCGACCAGAAGCTAATTTCTTGCCTAAACCGCCCTCCCCCAGCGATATTGCTCCAGAACCCAATTTACATTCTCCTTTTCTGTTTTTTGAGGGTGCCAGGGTACTTCGATTTTCTAGTTTTTTCTCTTCGCCATTTTAGGGCTTTTTTGAAATTCTTTTGAGATGTTTAGAAAAATTGGTGAACCTTATTTCTCATAAAACAAAATGAACAGAGCGACCCAGGAGAGCGAGAGAGAGAGAGAGAGAGAGAGAGAGAAAGAGAGTGAGAGAGAAAGTGAGAGTGAGCGAGAGATAGAGAAAGATCCAGCCTCAAATCCTCCGGGTTACGGTAGAGCCATCTGGGCACAGTGTAGTCGTGGATCCATAAATCCCCTCGACACCAGGTACCATCACCTGGCCCCCATCCCTTTAATGCCGGATAATCTATCATAGAGCCGAGCAAATCTCACTGTCCTTGAGCCGATCCCAAGGCTTAAGAAAATCCTCGGTATCCGTTTTGTAGCTCGTTTTGAGCCATTATTTGTGAGCATATTTATGTCTTGTCTTCCACATTTTTCTCATTTTTTCGAAACGACTTCAGCTAAAAATTCTACATTTTTCCAGATGCGAAGTCAACTTCACTTTACGATACTCTTGTTACTCAGCTGTACAGTACTTGTCAATGGACACCATGACCCGACACACCATGCAAATCACCCGAAGGCGATCAGCTTCGGCAACAACGTCCTCGCCCAGCCGTATGAAGTTGTGGACGAATGGGAGCTGGTCGACCCGGATGAGGAGTCATTTTACTATGATGAGGAAGAGGCTGAGCCAGGTGGGTAGAGTCTTTAATGCTTTCGAAACAGCAAGGTATCGCTAGTGTAGATGTATACGTCTAGAAAATCCCAAGATTCTATCTCTTCGCGCTCTCTCTCTCGCTATCTCCTTCTCTCTCTCCCACTCTCATTATCTCTCGTCTTCGCTCATTCTTTCTCTCGTTCTCCGATCCTCCTTTTTAGCTCTTCATTCTAATGCTCACTTTCTCTCACGCCTTTTCTCGCTCTATCGTTTTCTCCAACCCACTAAGGCTGTCACTGTCCCTTTAGCTCTTTAGAGAGTTTTGTAAACCTTTATGGCTTGCGCTCACTATATTCGTCCTTTTCTCTCGCTCTCTCTGTCTCATTCTCTCTCTCTCTCTCCCTCTCTCTCTCTCTCTCTCTGTATCATTCTCGCTCTCTCTCGCTCTCCTCTCTCTCTCTCTCTCGTCGTCCTCATCTCTCCCTCGTTCTCTCTGATTTTTTGAAGTTCTGATGATTCATCTGATCGGTTTTTTTGCAAATGATGACTTTCCTACCCGAACGCCCGTTCCATCCCCCAAAACCCGTACGTTCGGTTTCCTGGAACCTTGTGCCTTTCCACGTCAAAAACTTTCCCATATTAGCAAATTCGCCGAACTCCCATTCCCCGATTTTAACACACCTCGCCTTTTGCGAGAATGCTTTTATAGGATCAGTGCAAAACTGGTTTTCCCAGAAAATTCAAAGTTCCTGGACCCGGACGGGATTACGGTGTGACGTAGGGCTAGAATTTAGGGGTTAGAAGTTTGGTGGTGAGTAGGGAAGGCCCGAACTTCTTGTATAAGTTTTGGTCCAAGGAAAACAAAGATCTTTGAAGAATTAATGTACGAAGAAAAATTGTATTAAAATAGCTAGTGAGGAGTAGCTGGGAATTAAAAAACCATTAAAAACGAAAAAAAAAGTCGAAATAGTCCTCAAAATTACCGTCCCCCGGACCACCAAAAAATTCAAGACGCACTTTACAAGACCCTCACCAAATTTTGCAATTTCAGTAGCTCCCCGGAAGACGGTGGTCCGCGGTTTACGGCCTATGGAAATTTTCAAGCATAAGCACCGGCTACACCGGACCTATAGACACGAGCGAAAGCGAGACCATTTTCGTGATCGTTGAGCTGGTTTTGTGCGTTACATTCCGATATCACTCTACCGTAACCTCAGAATTTGGTCAATTTTAATTGTCATTTTTTGGATTTCTCTACCGTTCTCTCTAAGTCTCTCTCTCTCTCTCTCCTCTCTCTCTCTCTCTCTCTGTCTCTCTTAAGATCTGATATTTCCATTTTACGCAAATTCTCCTTTTTTGATTTTCATTGTTATTTTGTTACCTTAACCCACCTGCTCCATTCATAAATTTTTATTTTGCGAATATTTAACGAAAATTATGGCTATTACCGTACACTCGCAAGCGCGTGTATAGGCGTGGGCTGGACAGGCGCCAAAATCTGGCTCCAATCAAATTATCCCCTCCATTCCGTTTCGATCTGGCCCGTACGTCAGCGGAAACTCGCGGAACCTGCTCGCAAAAAGTGCAAAAAGATATCCACCGCATATAATGGGAAAAAGGGATGTACAGTGGTCGTGTTTGGCTGACTAAATCAAATTTTGTGAAAATATGAGGATTATTTTGGAAATCCCGGGAATTTTACTAACCCGGCTCGGCCCTTACTCGGATTTGGAGGAAGCGGCTACAGTACCCCGTGCAGCCTAGAGACAAAAACAGGGCAATAAGCACGTTGTTTTGCAGGGGATTTTTGAACATTCGGGTGCCCGGATCTTGTAAGTGTAAGTATTTTTGAAAGTGCAGATGGAGCTTTTCGTACGTTTTAAAATAAGGTTTGCAAAACCTCAAATTTGTTCATTTCAATTCAGTCGATCTTTATTTTGAATCGTTTTCTAGCTAGTTTTATGTAAAGTTTTTGGGGCCAGTTTGACCGCTTAAACACACGCTCGAAGTCAGTTTGAGCCGTCTAGGTTTTGTATACAGAGTTATAATGATTTTTACCGCCAGTCAAATTTTCGAAGCTTTTTGCAACCGAATTTTAACTAAATTAAAATTGAAGCAGTTTTCCGGTTGTTCTAAACCAGACTAAAATTGTTAAACCGGCTTTAAAGCTCTTTCTAACCAGCTTATTTTCTAAGGCTTTAAAAGCTATTAAAAAGTCCCTAAGGGCCTGGAAAAACGCTTCTTCTTAAAGATACCTATATGCATAGTTTAGTTGTGCTATTTGACTTATTTTCAGCTGCCTTAGCAGCAGACTGGTGAACTTTAAGGACGCTCCCCAGCACTAGACCTACCGCACCGAAATCAGGCCGTCTAGACGCCGGGCTATTCCAGTCACTCATTATATCGGGGGGGAGCGGAAATTCCCGAATTTCCCTCGTCAAAGTAGTTCCTAAAATTGGCAGAGTTTGTACACCAGATAAGGGTAACCACTGGTCTTCATATATCCAGGCGTTTCCGAGGCTTTGCAGTACTATGAATGCGAAAAACAAAAAAAAACCGATTGAAACCTCGAATCAAATTAAAGTTAATTCACCAAAAATTTTCGCAACCTCTCTGCTAGCAGGCCTTCATACCTTTATTGCAGGCTGCCTACCGACCGAGGATGGCGAGGAGACATACGAGTGTCCGCGAGATAAACCGGGCGAGCCGCTGGTCTGCATACATCAATGGCAATTTTGCGATCGAGTAAGTCAAAAAAATCGGCGTTGAATTCGTCGGGTCATTGGCAAAAACCAGAGTCTATATGCACGTTTCAGATCCTCGACTGTCCTAACGGGAAAGACGAGCCGCCGTTGCATTGTCTCTTCAAAGCAGCGGTGAGTTTGGTCGAAATTAGGGCAGGCTAACAGCATTCGTTAGGCCGGAATAAAATCTTAATTTCCCCACCTTTCAGTTAGACGAGAAGCTGATGGAAAGCGGGCAACGGACGCAGAGCCTCTTCCAGCCCCATCACAGATTGAGGCATCATGCACCGGCCGACATCCATGTCGGACATCACAAGATTTTTGTCGGAAGGAAGCACGAACCGAATTCAAGCCGATGATAATCTACAGTGCGAAAAAGATGACGTCGGCCTCGATCTCGACCAGTTCAAGAAGTTCAGAAGCTGGTCGTCGAGCTTCAAATCTGTCAGATCGAGTCGTTGATAATATCCGGTCGTAGCCGTAAGTACGTGATACACCATCCCTTGCGTGCTGTCAAGTAGTAAGCTGTAGTCAGCCGTACTGCTCCGTATTCTAAGGTATTAGTACTCCACCGTACCCGGTAATCGCTAGAATTTTTTGAACTAAAGGGACAGTGCCAGCAAGCTCTGAAATTCCTGGAAACTCCTATTTACGACCATTTCTTGCTGGCACCATCCCTTTAAAACCCGCCAAATTACGAGTCTTTCATTTTCACAGCATATCAACTGTATCTTTCCATCATAACCATCTGGCCATTTTACTTGCTAAACTCAGGTCTAACTGTCTCAAAGAGTATATGGTAATCAGGGTATTTTTTGTGACGATTTTCATATCGTAATCGTTTAATAGCCGCTAGTATACCTTTTAAAGGGATTGGCAAGTTTCGCCAAAAATTGCTGCTAGCTGCCAATCCTTTTAATCTTAAAAATCGCTAGTTTTTCGTCTGTGAGAGTACTGTAATCTACTGTGTGTTTTTAGATAATTGTCCCTTGCCAAATTATCCGATTTGCATGTAAATTAATTCCATACTTGAGTATCTGTATATTTATACAAAATTGTGATCCCCCGCCCTCAACTACCCACACTTATCCCGGATTCTGGCGCCCCGTTCACTCATCACCCATTCACTCATTTCTGCAGCCCTTTCGCTTGCATTTATTTGTCATTATTTATTTAGAATTCCCCTCGTTTTTTGGTCTCACTGATTATCCCCCGATTCTGAAAATTCCCTAGGAAAATGTATGGACTTAATTAAGGGAGAATTTTTTAGTGCTGGGAAACATTTTCGACGGAAGCGCGTGAGTGAAAAAAGGAAAACAAGTAAAAACCAGTCTTGCGTTTCCTAAGCTTAAGCTAAGCCTAAGCTGCTAAGCCTAGGCTAAGCCTAGGCCAAGCCTAAGCTAAGCCTATGCTAAGCGAAGCCAGGTCTAGACGAAGACTAAGCGTAAGCTAAGCCTAAGCCAAGTCTAAGCATAAGCCTAAGCAACGCTAGGCCTAAGCCTAAACTAAGCCTAAACTAAGCCGCTAGCCTAAGCTAAGCCCCAGCCTAAGCCTAGCTTATGTTTTTATCGAAAATTGAAATGCGACGCGTATAAATCTCTTTAGAATCATGCACTTTTGATCCCCTTTTCTCTGCTCCATGATCGTCGGATTCGAGATTTTCGATTAAAGCGCCTCATTATTGGCCAGACTGGTCCAAAAACCGCCTAAAGCTGAAGTACTTGCCGATAGCTCGGCTGTATTTTGGATGTATTTGTGTGCCAAATTCTGGCTTAACGGCCCGACTAGACTCTTCATCCCCCAAGGGGAGGGGGAAGACACCATGAAAACGGCAAAACATCAAATAACTCGAACGCGGTTTCCCGTGGAAAAGATTAGGTGCTTGCCAGCACACACGTGCTCTCCGGCCCTCATTCAGGACAAATTAAAACAAAATCCCCCGGCTGTGTTTTGGTGCTGTCAGGAATTGCCGCGTGTCGAACCTTGTGAGGGGATCTGACCCTGGTTAAATGGCAAAAGAAAATGGAAAATCACGCATTAATGGCGATAGAAAATCCTTAAGAATCTCTGCTAGCTT